CCCCCCCCCCCCCCCCCCCCTTCACCCGCTCGCCGCGCGCGCCATCCTTTTTTTTCAATACAACCCTCTTTCCGGGCGCCTTACACCTTGCTGGCGCTTCGGCGCGCACCAAACAATGCAACCATATATACAGCGAAGTGTCCCACGCACCAGCACACACCATGTCATCAATCAATTGCATTTCTCTTTTTGTGCGTTGTTGCTGTTTGCCAATCCATTTCGTGCGCCAACCCTGGTCGCACCCACACGCAGATACCTTTCTTTCTCATTGAGTTGTCGCTGCGAGCGCAGAGAGGATTGATTGCGAACAGTTTCTTCGTCAGTTGCAGGGTCTTGGTGCATAAAAAGAATTACCTCGTGTACAGGTGTACTACTTGGTGTAGATCATCTACACAGCAGAGTTAGTCTACTCCTTAGACTATGTACAACAACAACAGCAAAATAAACAACATATATATTCGCCTGATTGAGAGCGTAGCATCTGATTGAGAGCGAGATTGCGCGATACGCTGTAGCCGGACTACCACTGAGAGGTGGAGCTTGCTGTGTAGCTTGAATTGAAGGGCTAGCCCGTAGCTTCAAGCCGCTACCCTGGTCATCCTGTGGGAGTCTCTCGTTGTGGAGCTACAGCGGGGAGCAGAAGCTACAGCAGAGCCCACCGCCCGACGCGATACCGCCCTGAAACAGTTTGAGCAGAAATAGCCAATCTGGGCAAATCTAGCAACTTGTCTAGCTCCTCGCTGCAGCATCCGATGACGATGACACGCATATGCTCGCGAAGCTGCTGATGAGACCTTCAATTTGCACCGCTTCTTGGAATAGCCCGTCCCCTACTTGCCAAGAAATGGCAAGAGGCGTCTGGACCCGAAATTTCAATTTTTTTGGCTCTCGCTCTCAATCAGATACTTCGCTCTCAATCAGGCGAATATGTTGTTTAATAATATCTATCCATGGATCGAAATGGGAAATAGAACTTTTAATTACGTTGTCCGTACCCCATCCTGCCAAATAGGGCACGCACGCGCGCATGCGTACTCACGTTGTGACCGCCGTGCTTCAACTAGGACAGCAAGCAGCGTTATGACACACCGACAATACAACAACAACCAGGGATAAAGCGCTGTGGATTGTGCACAAATGAACCCCCAGAACACAAGGTAGGTATTTTAGAATGACCGAGACACGACCCAAACGTAGCTTAGACTGGACGAAGGGTAACCAAGACTGATGATTCTCAACAGCCCCTCCCTTTTTTCATTTCTCGCGTTAGTAGTGTAGAACACATCCGGTAGCTAGCGCGGGCGGCGCATGAATTCCCACGACGGAGATTATTACGTAGCTCCCTTGTCGTCGTTATAATCCCATCCATGGTGCGACTCTTGGAAACCACACCACCACGACTCGAAATAAGCCAAGTCCCCAGTCAGTTTCAATCCACTTGAATGGTCGTCCCGGTGGTCTATCTATCTAGTGAATAGTCGTCCCGGTGGTCTATCTATCTAGTGGTATCCTCGTACTCCGCTGCTAGTAGTCGCAGAGGTCGTGAGTTAGAATCCCCATGGGGTGAAAAATTTACGAAATTTGCGGGTGAAAGCGAAATATAGCTAAAAAGCTCTCGTGAGTACCAAACTTCGACGTTAGCACCGTTGACGAGGGAAAGGGACGGCTGGACCCTTCTCGCGATAAAAATAAAATTCAGCACGCACCGCAGGAGGAAGGTGGGGCATGAAAAGAAATAAAAAGAAGAAAAAAGCCCTGGTGTTTACCCCCTCCTGTGTGACCCTGGATGATTGTAGTTGGACGAAAAAATACACTGAAAAGTATAGTACTCTACATACGCTGAAAAGTGTAGGACACGTCTCACCACGAAAGATGGGGGGACTGTCGCCATAATAAATAGGACGAAAACACACACACAACACACACACTGAAAAGACTTCACCACATCTCTTTCGACTGAGGTTATATCTCGAACGGGTAGTCTTTCTGTAAGGTTATGTTTACTTTCTAAAAACCGCCGCCCCCCGCCCATAAATACTTGTTGCCGTTTCGACAATCTGCAACAAAGATGATGTCTACATAGAGTGGTACGTAGTTATCTTCTACTTGATCCATCGTGGAGGTCTACTTGTAACAACACTGGTGGTGATGCCAGTCTGCCGTGCCGGACAGCCGGTATTGTCCTGCTGTGAGTTCCGACGGCCTGGCGGCTGGCGGCCAATATTGTTCTCCATCCGTTGAGGTGTTCGCTGCTGCCCCTTCTCACGTGCGAGAGAACAACGGAGGAGATGAATAGTCGACGCAATGCAAATGAGCAGCAGCAAAAACAGTGCTCACATATATCGTTCGACACATACATGTGCATGGTAAAACAAAGTGGTATCGTCGGTGCTGTTACTTTGTGGCACTACCACAGTGCAATCAAACTTGCCGCCCGGGAGGGACGCAGGTGGACCCAAGGGTAATATGCGTCGTTGGATCATCCTCTAATTTCATCGATATTTTGGTCCTGAGAGAGAGGGACGTGCAAAACACAACGATACAGGCCACCTCTCACCGGTTCACCGCCATACCACCCATCCTCGTTCAGGTCTCGATTGCGACGGACCTTATCCGCGATCAACGACTCCACATAGCCTCCTCCGTTGTTGCGGATGTGATACGCTTCCTCTTCCGTCAACTCAAAAGCGGACTGTTCTCCCGCCGGCCTCCTACCCATCGCAACACCTGCCGCAACCACCGTACGCCGCCGCGATGTGTCTGGGGACACGGCAGCCCCCACCGTCTTTTTCGGCTCCCAGCGAGCCATTCCCGAAGGAGGGAGGCAACCGCCGCCGTGCTTGTATCCGCCGCTATTGTTGTCGTCGGACTGAGGCGAGGCCTTGTGTTTTCTACTGGCGTGGTGAAACCGGTAGGGTCGGGGGTACTCCTCCCCGTTGTGGCCTCCCCCAGTGGCGGCTTGAGAACCGTACCGGTCCCCACCGCCGGCGGCGAGGGGATCTTCCTGTGGTGCAGATCTCCTCGCAAGACCGGGCCTACCATTTCTGGTCCAATCCTCGCCATCCTCCCCCTCGTCCCCCCGTCGACTAGGACGCCGGCCCCCACTGTTCGCCCGGGCTTGCTCTGGCAAAACGCGGTAGCCCCTACCGCTCGCGTGCCGTCGACCTCTGTCCCACTCCAGTTCGCGAACCCCTTCGCCGGCCTGGTGTCCCGGCGAGGCCACGTCTCTCTGCCCATCGTTGACGTAACGGTGATGGTGGTACCGAGGGGCTCCGTGGTGCCGCTCCTCGTGGGCAGGCTGGTAGTAGTGGCGCGCGGCCTTACTGCCTGGCTCGTCCTCCGCACCGACGTACCGTTTGCTCTGGACCGGGTGTTCGCGGGCACGGTAGCCTGGCGGGAGAACATACCGGTGCGGTGCACCGATAGCTGGGTCCCGAGGCACGTGGTGGCTCCTTGCCACCCCCGAAGGTTCCAGCTGCCCGAAGGTTGATCGCGGTGAGGCACTGCTACTACTGCTGTCCACGTGCCGCCGAATGTGGGGGAGGCTCGGCGCATGACTCCGCGGAAGCATCTCAGCCGGCGCCGACGGGGACGGGGGCAGAAGGCGTTGTTGCTCCCACGCGGGGTTCCATCTCAGTCGCTCTGCGGAGGGGTAGGTCGCGCCCTCCATGCCGCTCGGAGGCGGTCGGCCTGACACCATCACGTAGGGAGCGCTGGCGGGGTCACCTCCGGACCCCGGTTGGCGCTGGCCTCTCGCTGCCGCCCCCGCCCACTGATTTCCACCCGTCGTCTCGGCGCTTTGCACGGGTCCGCCCCGCACACCCCCCCGAACACCTCCACCCTCAGCTGCTGCTGCTGCTGCTGCTGCTGTCCTAGTCGAGGAGCTTGGCTGCGGGGTCTTAGGCGCCGCCGCTGGCGGCTGAACTCCAGCTGTGGGCGCAGAGGGTTCATCTCTCGGCGCGGTACCGATCAGGTGATTATGTTTCACCTCCGGCGGGGGGGAAAGACAGGGGGCAAGAAGCGCCGCAGCTACGCTGGGAGAAGGGGTTCTTCGTTGGTCGCCGGCATGATCCTGTTCTTTCAACGAAGGACGTCGCGGAGCCGAAATGCCTTCGTCCGCAGTAGCAGTAGCAGCAGCGGCTAAGGTTGAAGAAGTAGGAGGATCATTTGTCATTGCTGTTGGGGGGGATTTGGGTTTTGTCGGCTGCCGGGAGCCGTTGGCCGCCGGCGCCTCGAACGTCCGCAGGGACAAGCGCATCGCGTCCTTTTGGCACACTCTAGCCCCTTTGCTGTACGCCGACATTACGGAGAAAACGACGTGCAAGCCTGACGACTTGTTTGCCGCACGCCCCTGGGAAGCCTCCGCTCCCTGCCGGCCTTCCCCCCCGCCTCCTCCGCGGACGGCGAGCTCAACTCCCTGAGCCGGCGCAACTTGGAACTCGTAGCGGTGGCCGGCCACGTAGGGAAAGCGGTGATCCGTCTAACCGATGAGTGAGTGTGGACCAAGAGCAAGCAAGAGGGTGCACGGTCAAGGTTTGGCCCTCGCAGGTATGCCAGCGACCAGCGACGCACAAACAAAAACGAGGTGGAATGACCCCGTTGACACCATAGTTGAAGATCTCGTTGATTGAAGGGACTGCAAGATGGGGCGGGAGCTCAGTGGAACTTGGTGATGATGCGACCACGCATGATGGCATTGCCTTACTCCTATTTTGCGTAGTTGCAAGGTAATGCGAAGCCCAGTACATTGCCAACAGAACGAAAACGACCGAGAGACATACATATGGAGTTCTCAGGAATGTGCCACTCGTGTCGAACACACAACATCGCTGCTGCAAAATCGACCCCGAAACCCAAATCTCAACCTTGATGGTGCGCTAAGTTTCTTGGCGTGTGGTAAACTATAGTCCTCCCTTCAACCAGGACACTGACCTGGATGGCCTCGTGCCCGAAGTGTGCCGCGCTATCATGCACGGTGGCACCGTCTATCACGACGGCCGCAGCCGAGCCTGCCTCTTCCCTCAGCGTCACCAGGAGCCGACCGGTGCCCTCGATGCGCGTCACGGACAGGCTCTCGCTCGGCCTGAGAAAGAACAGAGCGGGCTGCTCCCCGCTGTCGAGATGCCGCGACACGTCGGTCCGGAAGAGCATCAGGTCTCCGCCGACCCCCCCATCGCCCTCCAGATTTCCGATCGGCTCTCTCGGGCTACCACGTAGCACAGATTCGGAACGGACTTGAGAGAGCGCCCGCGTAGCCCCTCGCTCGTGTCGCCGCTCGTTTTGGTCCAAGCGAGCCTTCCCGTCCTCTTCTGCCAAAGAACACGCTTCGATCGGTGTCCAGCGCGTCGGCAGGCACAGCTCATCGAGCTTTTGTTCCTGCCCCCCCCTTCCTTTCGTTTGTCCTGAAGACCCTAGGTCGTCACCGATGGGCACTGGGTTCGAAGAAGCTCGCGGCCTTCGCTCCGTGCGGCCAGCGTATTCCTCCTCGCGGTCGCCCTTTCGCCCGCAATCGCTGCTGCTGCTTCTCCAGACGACCTCTGAAGGGGTTAACGACAGGTAGCCCGTCGGCGGAGTCCCTTCTGTCTGGCGTTGCGTCTTGTTCGGCCCTGCCACCACGGCCCAGTGACTACAACGGTCGGCGGGTTGTCCTCGGGCGGCTTCTCTCTCTGCCCTTCCTAGTTTTCGGACGGGCGAGGCCAGATCAATGTAGCCGTCAGGAACGTCGGCGTGGAAGGATTCCTGCTGCAAGACGTACCTAGCCGTGCGCTCAGGGATAAGCCGGCCAAGCGATGACGCAGACCTCGCCGTCAAGGGCGAGCCGCCGTCGCCCCGGGGGTCTCCTTCCGATGGGGGGATATCCGGAGGAGGGGTCACATCAGTGCTGCCCTTGGTGTCCTCCATAATGGAGAAAGACGGTGCCAGAAGTGCATGCCTGGGTGGAGAGGCAGTACCCGCCGCCGGAGAGGCTGTTTTTTTTTTTTTAGTTTTCGAAAATTCTAACGGCTTCGTCTCACAGTTGTCGGCTGAATCGTGGAAACGGTTCTCCATTGACTCTATCGCAGGTGGAACGGCGTGCCCCGACGGTTCTTTCTGATGGCTTCCCCCCTTTGCGGTCCCGTCTGTACGACCGTCGCTCCGCTCCTTGCTGAGCGATGGGTGTACCGTATTGCCTTCGCTTCTCACCACCACGGCCGTGGCAAAATTTCCCTGAAAAGATCTGCTGGGCTCCTCTTGCCCTGAACCCGACGGGTTCTGGCGCTGCATATGAAGTTGCTTTTGCTCCAGGCGGTGCGAGTGGGCATCACTATCCCCTGCCTTACGAGCCCTCCTGCTGCGTGTACTCCTTTTGTCCCTGACAGACGTGGTGGAGTCCCTTGATCGATCACTGCTGCTCCCCGGCTTGCTTTCCCCGGCGGCGGCGTCATTGGATGTAAGAACGAGGTGTTTTGTTGCCCCTCTGTCTACAACGTGCACGCCTAGTGCCGACGGTGGCGACAGATTTACTCTCCTCGCCTCTGCCTGTTTTTCTTTCGGACGCTCGCCTATAGTCGAATGCCGTTGTCGCCGTGACACCACCCCTCCGCCTTCCGACCCATCGCTCTCGTTGATTTTCTCTCCTTGAGCTTCCCCGTCTCCTCGCCGCCTTCCACCACTATGTCGTCGATCTAAAGCATCTCGTTTATGCGAGAAGGCTTTCGCCCCCTTCTCTCTCCTATCACATTCTAGCCCTTCTCCAAGGGTGTTGGCACTGCCTTGGGTATGATGACCTCCAGCAACCATGATCTTGGCCGGGTGCTCATCGGATTGAATCCTTGGTCTTGGCGGCTTCGTTTCCGGCTGCCCATTGTCAGCTTGTAGCAGGTCACGGTTCTGCGCTACTACCGATTCTGAAGGCGAATCGTATTCGCGCTTGCCCGTTGTGAAAGATGCTGCATTTGGACAGCAGTATGTCTTGTCGGCGGTGGCCCCGGTAGAGGGCGCCGTCCGTGTTTCTTCGTCGCCAACATCATCGATGTTGTCGGTCGACAACGTCCTCGAAGAACGACCCCGTTTCCGTCGCTTGGAGTCTTGTATTGCGTGTGACGCGCGTGCGGCGGGAACTGCTGGAGTTACTACGGCTTCTTGTGGTTGTGCCTGATCACGCGTCGAAGAGTACGACGACGACCCACTCCTTCTGCGACGGCGTTCCTTCTTTTCAGCGGTCTCCAGCGAGGCTGACCCATCGGTTCCGCCGTTCTTTGCTTTCGAGGGCGAACTAAGCGAAGTTGTTTCTCTCTTCCCTGTCTCCGTGTCTGCAACCTCGCCAGCTGCAAGGGTTGCCGGAGGAGGGACTGCCAACGCCGCGAAGCTTCCTCTTTTCGACCTTGATCGCCCGCTTTTCGTTGCATCACGTTCTTCGTTAGGGACATCGTCCTTGTTACTTTGATCCTCAGATCTTGTGTCAGCACCACAAGAAGCAGCAGAAGAGCTTCGTCGTCTCCTGCTGCTACCTTCTCGAATGCTCGGTCTCTTGCGACTGGTGCTGCTGTTGTCTCTGTCAACCCTCTTCCCCTCTTCGTCGTACCGTCGCTGCTTACGTTCGCTAGAGGCACCATCTCCATCGTGATGTGCGTCAAAATCTTCGGTGCAAACAGCTTGCGCATCCATATTCGCCAGCGGGACGCTCAGCATGTGAAATACAGGCCTCGCGAGCTTTGCCTCAGAGCTCAGAGCTCCGCAAGCTCCTGAACAGACGGAGACGCGGCGCAATATGCAAGGCGCACGCGACGAACGGTGACGGTTTCATCGAATTTTGGTCGAACGGCAACAAAAACTACCGGTTATACCATTCTTCAGACGGGGCCGGACGGGCGGTGGATGCGTGTGCGGTTGGTTGGTGAGGACTGTAGGATGCACCTGGTAGCTTAGGTCGCCCGTTAGGACCTAACAACATGGAGAAATGTTACGTGCTGAGCTCGGACACTCCCACGGAAAAAAAATCTTCTGTTAATCGGTTTCGCGCCAGTTGCAGGTCTTTTCGCGTGTAGTTCTGTCTTTTTACCACGTATCATGCTCTGGGATCTTCGCCATACGCACGCCGAGATTCGCATTGATGTTGTTGTTGAACAGTTGTGCACTTGCAGGGACTAGAGCGAAACAAACAGAGACAAGGATGCTGATGTGGACAAAAGAAAGGGATAAGCTTGCTTGCGTTTCGCACCGGTGTCGCTTTGAAAATTCCTTCGCCGGAAGTCGAGGCCTAGTCTACACTAGAAGGTCGCTCGACGCGCGAAGGCACCGCCGCGGTTTCGCACGCAAAGCTTTCGCATGCTGGGAGAAATCGCTAGGAGACTCAAAACATCGCGGACAAGATTTCGTGTAACTGTAGGTTCTGATGTGGCCGGAGCAGAAACACATATACTTCTGTGTAGACGTGCGCACGAAGCCGTGTTCGTTCCTCGATTCAAAGTGGATACACGGTAAACGGAGGGATGCATGGACAAAAATAAATCATCCGGTGTCGCGAGGAGTCGATAATTCCGACCACATACTCTTTATTCGGCGACAAAGAGAAGGTTGTGGACAGCTCCATTTACCTACCTGATGGAACCAAAACTATGCCTTCGGGTCCCACGTTGGTGATGCCAATCAATGTCGGCAGGGTTCTTGGGGGTTTGGTTTGTCTTGTCACCTTCCCACCCCCCCTCGGTCAAGTCCCCTGAGGTGATGATGGCCCTAGGGCATGACTGGTCCAACCGCCATTTCCTCCATCACATTCGAAAAAACACCGCTGCGCCGGCAGGGAGAAGCATAGTATGGAACGTTTGGGGTACTGCAGAGGCTCCATCCAGACCAATCGACTCTCTGCCTACCCACCGTCGACGACCGGTGGTGGTGTTGTGGTGGCTGGGATCCCGCCAAACAATTAGACGTTCCACCCCCCCGATGCTCACACGCTCGAGGTAACGATGTGTCAGATTACAAAACCAAAACAACGAGATAGACTTGTCTGCACCAAGGGACTGAGACAGCGGACAACAAGCACGAAGACAGGGACAAGAACAAGGAATATCATAGGACGACAGGACAATGACGAACAACGAGCCAGACACAAAACACACACACACACATCGATAATAATAAAAACACACACATACATCTCCCGGCCAATTCGTGTGAGATCAACGAACCTGCATCAGCGAAGGATCAACGAACCTGACGGCGAGGAATCTGGCTACACACCAAAAACGTCAGCATAAAGGTCGAGGAAAAGAGCTACTACTCAGTTTGTCTCCTCCTGGATCCTTGCGCTCGAGCAGCCAGGCACCTGGTTACGCCGCATGTGGCACATGCGGCGACCTTTTCTCTCCACGCACCAAGCATTGTTGCGAACCAGGTACTACATCGTCTCCATCTCTCTCTGGGTCGTTGCAGCCACCGCAAGAGGATGATGACGACAGGCGGCAACTCCTATTACCGTGGGACCTCGACGACGTCAGCAGTGCCCTGGATCAGGTTCGACAAGATACTCTTGAAACGTCAATTTTTTCGACAGTCAAACACATCGATCCGCAACTGGCGAAAGTATTTTGCAAACACTTCCAACATGTCGTCATCCACTTCGTGCAAGCATTTGGAGCTGTACACATAGATCAGCACACGTCAGATACCTCAGATCTGTCTCCTCTTGCAGCGGAAAGATATGAAGTAGCACGTGTTGAAAGACAACTCCAACTTGTCCGTCTGACAAAGTTGCTTCATCTTACCCCAGCATTGCATGGATCGACTGATGGAAGGATGAACAGGGTATCCCGATTTAACCGCTTTGCAAATGGTGATCTGAG